ATTTTCTGTGACTTTGAGTTGGTATTTTTCTATTTCTTCTATCCCTATTATTCTTAGATTTGGCTTTTTCGTGGTGTCCCAGATTTCCTGGATGTTTTGTGTTATGCCATTTTTGGCTTTAGTATTTTCTTTGACTGACAAATCTATCTGTTTTGTCCTTCACACCAGAGATTCTCTCTTCTATCTCTTGTATTCTGTTGGTTATTCTTGCATCTATAGTTCCTGTTTGTTTACTCAGATTTTCTATTTCGAGCATTCCCTCAGTTTGTGTCTTCTTCATTGTTTCTATTTCAATTTTCAGGTCTTGAACTGTTTTCTTCACCTGTTTAAATGCTTATTCTTGGCTTTCTTTAAGGGATGCATTGATTTCTTCCATTTTTTTTTGTTTGTCTTTTCCTCAGTTTCTTTAAGGGAATTTTTCATTTCCTTTTTAAAGGCCTCTATCATCTTCTTAAAGTCGTTTTATGGTCATTTTCTTATACTTCTTCTACATTGGGATGTTCATGTCTTGCTTATGTAGAACCACTAGGTTCTGATGGTGCCATATTGCTCTTTATGTTGTTGAATGTATTCTTGTACTGGTGTCTACCCATCTCTTCCTCAAATTGGTGCAAACAGTGTCTGTGTCTCAGGGAGCCACTCTTGGTCCAACCAGAGTTAGTAGAGTCTGTGTCTCAGGGAGCAGCTGTGATCTCAGAGGATGGGTTGGGGAGTGCATTGGGGCTTGTAGGTTACAGGATCTCCTAGAGGGTGTGGTGGTCAGGCCTGCCTGCAGGAGTCCTGACTGCTGGCCTGAAACTGGGGCTGCAGTGGGTGAGGGATGGGGCACTGGCTTTGCCCCTAGTCCTAAGGCCTAGAGACTTACAGAGACATGTTGTGGGATATTCTGTATGTCCTGTAGGAGCCCGTTCTCGGGTTCCTTGTGGCTTTACCCAGCAGGTCCCCATAGAGGATGATCAGGACCACGTGCCTGAGTGTAGGTGTCTGAGATGGTCTGCACTTGGCTGTGCTGGGGGATGGTCTATATGTCAAATTGTTCTGATTGGTCAATAAATAAAACCTGATTGGCTGTGGTTAGGCAGGAAGTATAGGCGGGACTAACAGAGAGGAGAAATAAAAGAACAAGAAGGCAGAAGGAGTCACTGCCTGCAGCAGCCGCCAGGACAAGGAAGATGTAAAGTTCCGGTAAGCCACAAGCCACGTGGCAGGGTATAGATTTGTGGAAATGGATTAATTTAAGATATAAGAAAAGTTAGCAAGAAGCCTGCCACAGCCATACAGTTTGTAAGCAAAATAAGTCTCTGGGTTTACTTGGTTGGGTCTGAGCGGCTGTGGGACTGGCAGGTGACAAAGATTTGTCCTGACTGTGGGCCAGGAAGGAAAACTCTAGCTACAGTGGTGATCAACTATGAGAAGAAAGACTCACCTCTTAGTCCAATTGGAGCTGGCAGAGTCTGTTTTAGGGAGCAGCTGTGGTCTTGGAGGGTGGATGGGTTTGGGGGATGGGTTGGGGCTTGTAGGTTACAGGGTCCAGTGGGGGATGGTGGTAGTCAGGCCTGCCTGGAGGAGTCCTGCCTGTTAGCATGCAACTGGTTGTACCCCCAAGATAGTGTCCTTTCTAGGTAGTTTAGTTGGCTTCTACTTCCTCTTGGCAGTTCTGTAGGTATTTGTCTCCTCCAAGCAACTGGGATAGTCTCTTGTAGCTGAAGTTTTTCTGGTCCTGCCTGGCTCCCATGGTTCTGTGGCCACTTGGACCCAAGTAAACACACAGAAGCTTATATTAATTAAAACTGCTCAGCCATTAGTTCAGGCTAACTATTGACTAGTTCTTAAACTTAAATTACCCATAATTCTTATTTATGTTTAGCCATGAAGCTTGGTACCTTTTCTCAGTTCTGCCTTCACATCTTGCTTCCTCTGTGTCTGGTTGGTGACTCCTGACTCAGCCTTCCTGTTCTCAGCATTCTTCTCTCTCTTTGTTCTGCCTATACTTCCTGCCTGGCTACTGGACAATCAGCACTTTATTTATTAACCAATTAGAGCAACACATTCACACCCCACAGAGCGATATCCACATCAGTCTTTGTTTCTTTCATGTGGCTTACTTGGTCTGAGCTTCTTCAAGGAAGCTTGACTTCTTAGGTCAGAGTATTTTTCTTGGCAGTTCTTGTATAAACCTGATGACAGAGGGGCTTAGTGAATATGTTCAGTTTCAGGGACTTCATGACACCTTTGAGTTCTTGAGTTTAAAGAGTTGCTTCCCAATTTTTAAAGTTTCCCAGCAAGATGGACTATTTTACCTGCCTTTATACCATCCTGTTCTTGAGGAGCTTCCCTCCCAGATGGAACGTTTCATATCAGAGAAAATGGCTTCTCAGCAAAGGGACACCTAAAATAGAAAGTTCTTCCACCTGGTAAACATGCAGAAGACACAGCTTGACCCATACCGTAATGTCATATTTTAAAAGTTAAGCCAATGGTTAGCCATGTTACAATCACCCTTAAAGGATTCCAGAAACAGAACAGTGACAAAATTAGACAAACATAATATGAAGATAATTAACGTTTTCACTGATGGACAGGTCAATATTCCTGAAGGTCTGTTCTGGTACCCTAAGAAGGAAATACATCCCAGGGTTCACAGCTTGAACCATGTCATTTAAGAAGCATCATATAAGCCAAGTGAGGAATGTTTTCTTGTAAATTTTCCTCAACTAAGCAACTGTTATAAAAGACAAAGTATAATGACCCATTTCAGTTTAAGAGAAACTTATGGGATATACCAACAAAATACAATATGAGAGAATACATGGTATAAAAGAGAATACTGGATCAATTTACAACACTGGTATTTGTAATATATTGGATATGTAGTTGTCTATTAAGGGTGTCTTTCCCAAAATGGTAATTGTCCTGTAAGAAGAAAGGGAATGTCTTGGTGTTTAAGATATGTACATTGAAGTGCTGAGAGAGAGGAGTCAGTAGTAGCTTGCTTCCAGAGGGAATGCGTGGGGTGCACATTCACACAAAAAAATGTGGCAATGTTGCATCCGTCAACACAGCTGGGAAGAGGGCTTGCAGGGGTGCATGTACCATTCTTGTGATTTTTTCTGTAAGCTTATAATTACATTTAAATAGAATGTTAGAAATACTACCCCTGAAAAGAATGATGTAATATTAGTGTAGGTTAACACTTCGATGGCTTTGTTTGGAGAGCTATGAGAGTGCCATGATTTTGTGCGTGAGGCTCATTATCTCTGCCTACATTATAGACTTGGGAGGTGTAAATGTTAGCGGACTGGGTCTTAATGATTTTTTTTTTTTTTTTTTTTGGTTTTTCAAGACAGGGTTTCTCTGTGTAGCCTTGCTCCTTTATCTGGAACTCACTTGGTAGCCCAGGCTAGCTTAATGATTTTTTAAAAATTAGTATATGTGTGTGTGTGTGTCTGTGCGCGCGCACGTGCAAGCACATGCATACCTCTGCATGCATGAATGTGGGAATGGGTCTAATGAGTGGGTCTTTGTGCATGCATATGGAAGGCAGAGGAAGAGGTCAGATGTTTGGCTCCATTACTCTCAACCTCATTCTCATGAGATAATTTCTCACACTTTTGTCACGGCTGGCCTGTCACCTGCCTGTCTCCATCCCCTTGAGTTGGAGTTGCAGACAGTCACAGAATGATTATGTGTGGGCAGTGGGATCTGAACTCAGGCCTCATGCTTGTAGATCAAGAGCTCTCAGCCGGGCGGTGGTGGCGCACACCATTAATCCCAGCACTCGGGAGGCAGAGGCAGGCGGATCTCTGTGAGTTCGAGGCCAGCCTGGGCTACCAAGTGAGCTCCAGGAAAGGCGCAAAGCTACGCAGAGAAACGCTGTCTCGAAAAACAAAAACAAAAACAAAAACAAAAAAAGAGCTCTCACCCACGGAGCCATCCCCATACCCCAAGCTGTAGAGCTCTTGATGAACACAGTCACAGGTACTCTGCTGTTTCCCTAAAAATGAAGTGCATATGATCAAGTCACATTCACGTGGTGCAGTTTGACCATTTCTTCTTAAAACTTAAACAAAATGCTCTTTGAGTTCATGACTCCTTATACAAAAGATGTTACAAAGATTTGTGACATATATGAAGTCCATTTTGTCACACTAATTACTTGATTTAAGAAAATGTTTGATGAGATTGTCAAACAGTGACATGTGAATGATGTAGTGCTGTTTGGAGGAAATGAACATAAGGAGGATTGAAATCAACAGAAGACTAGTAGCATGAGACTTGTACAGATTTCCCCTCAGCTGTACACTGTTCTAACCAGAACCAAAGGCATTTAGAGTGACAACCCCTTTACTGGCCAGCATACAGACTCTCCTCTTCTCCTTTCCTCCTTACTCTCCAGGCTTCAGAATTAATAGAAAAACTAAAATCCATCTTCACTCCACACAGTGTGTGTAACCAGCTGTGGCTTTATTTTTGATGCTGCCCCATGGGGGAAAAAGTTGTTTTTTCTTTGCTATAGGTGTTAATTGGTATCTTTGTATCTTGCTAATTACATTCTAGCAACACCTTTTTCCTCTTCCTTGCTTGCATTTAATGAGCTCCTTGTTGTATTAATTTATTAGATAATAAGATAAAACAAAAAGTTCAGTTACTTTAGGTGTGGTTTGGAACATGTACTTTAGATATGTAAACACACATGTAAACTTACATGTTATACAAGAAAAGGTCATCCCAGAACGAAATATCACTCATGTTAGTCTACACTAAGAGCCTACATAGTGTGATCATTGATATATCCACTAAAAACAGGCAAGGTTGGTTGAAAACCTCAGACAGTAACACTTATTGGGAATAAGCAAATCAGGATCCCATATGGCCCAACAAGATGTGCATATCAGGAACCTCTGCAATATTTAAACACAACAAACAAATTGTGAGTTCCGCAACGTGCCCTTCAGACTCTAATTATCATTTTTATTTGCATGTTCATTTTCTTCCTTGAGTTCTTTTGAAGCCACTGACCAGGCTCTAAGCCCTATATAATTCTCCAAGATCCAAGAATTCATTTGATAAAAGGAATGGAAAAATCATCAGTGTCCAGAGAAACTTGCAATGGTTTAATAGAATAATGCCCTTCATTCCTCAGCAGGTAAGAAATTCTGTAAAGTATTTTGAATGAAGACTTCCAGATGTTATTGAATACACCCTACTTTTCCAGTTCAAGCTAGTACCGGTTATCAGTTTTCTATGTTGTTGTCTGATATTTTTAGGGGAGCCAGCAATGCTCTTATTGTTACACATTTGACTCTGCTTCAGCAGTGAGTTCCATTAATCCAGCATATTCTAGCCACCTTTCGAAATATAAGCATCCACAGTCAAAACTGCACATCCTTTGAAATAAGTACCAATTCTTAACTTGAAGTAAACGTTTCCACAATTCAAAATCCCAAGCCATAGGTATTTTTGCTAAATAAGCAGAGGCATTTCCAACCAGTGCTAACACTATATGCTGTACAAAACAGGAAAAAAGAAAGCTAAAACTGAAAGTCCTAACAGTGCAAATTGCTACTATGCTTTGATAAATATGATGGCAGAAATGACTGCATTTTCTACTGTAGTTTTTGTGATGTTGAGCTTCTCAACTGGGATTTACACATTTTAATAAGATACTTTAGAAAGTGCAATAACCACTGTCCCAAGAGATAGTGCTGTCAATGCTGCTTACAGAAAGGGGATGGCTATCACCAGGCTGTCCACAGTATATCAATACTTTAGGATAGAAACGTGCTGCAGTTGTGAGCACAGAAGTTATGTCAGTTTATCTCCACTTGATCTTTTTGTGAGACGTATTGGAGCAAAAGCTTTTTCCATTGTCCTTTGTAGCTCATGAATCAGAAAAGAGAGTTTTTCTCCCATGCCTCTGAGAAGAGGCTGAAGCAGGTAATCGACATAGCAATTTAAATCTTGCACAGCTCATGGATTTGCTTTCCCCTGAATGCTAATTTTAATCCCTTATGATGGTTAAAAGCAAGTGTAAAAGTAAAGACAATATCCAGAGAGGCCATTGAAGAGACAGAGACAGTAGAGCTTTGAGAAGATTGTTTGCAGAAAATAGTTTTCCCATGTGTGGACTTGGCCTTTGAAGCAAAGAATTATAACAGGAAATTAGTGATGAGGCTGGCACAGCCTCATAAACAAGTACAAAATTGTGTCAGCACACCAAAATATTTCACTAGACTGCTATTCTCCTAGGAGGCTCACAGGTGGTATAATAAATGGGATCAGCTATCCTTTTACATGTCTAAGTTATATGGTTACTTTGGTTCAGCTGACCATTAGTTATTGGTAATCTGAGGCATAAATACAGACACTGGCTGAATATTTATGTACAGTTCCAGAATCTGCCTTCATTAATTTGTCTGCATATGGGAAACAGGGCCATTGGAGTGGTGGTAGAAAATATTGCTTTGGGATCCCTTAATGTAATGTATTAAATATGAATGTGCTCCTGGTGCGGGGGGTCCTGGAACTCTTGCTAGGTGTTGGGTCCCTGCTGACCCTTTATCATTTTCTCCTTTCCCACACTGAATGTAAAATGGAAAAGCTACCTTTAACAGCTAGCAAATGGTGACACTGCCAGACTCATCTTAAGAAATTTGCTAAGTTTTCTTCCAGATGTAAGAATTTTTATAACCATAGTTGTGGAGAATCTGTCCTTAGAGCCCAGCTCAACATGATCCTGACATCTGTAGCCTGCACAGAAGAATCACACCGAGACTCCTTTGTTTTACATTTCACAGTAACATTAACAAGTTACTGAATTTATACTCTCCCTGCAGCTCTTGTTATTGTTCTTTTAATGGAAGAAAATACTCAAAGAGCAAACAAATATAAGGTGCGATGCTGAATAGAATGCCTACATCCAATATTTTCTGGACTCTAGACATAGAATATCTGCATGGAAAAATGGTCTCTGTGTCAAATAGTCAACCATACAAGAGAACACTAGCTACCCAAATTTCCTCTTTAGTTACAAACTGTCTTCTTTTACTGGGACTAAAGTCTACAGATATTATGCTCCACTGCATACAGAATAGTTTTAGGTTGAAGGAATTTGGAAGTGTTTCCTCGAGTTGGCTAGAGAATCTGCCTGTTATTTTTCCATTCAGTATCGTTTTGGAAAACCATAATACTCATGTAAGCTTTTGATACCGGGGTTAGAGAAAAATTCCCTTTTGGTGGTTTGAGAACAGGTTTCTCTGTGTAGCCCTGGCTGTCCTGGAGCTTGCTTTGTAGTAAGAGCTGGCCTTGAATTCATAAAGATCCACTTGCCTCTGCCTCTTGAGTGCTGGGACCAAAGTTATACAATAGTTAAATTATGCAATGAGTCAGATTATGTAACCTACTATCTTTGGTTTATATAGAGAGCAAATTAAAATTTTATAAATAATTTATATTTAAGGATTAAAAAATGAGTGTCTTGGCATAAGATTGAATGTAAAACGTTATATTGATTTGGGATACAAGGCCCTGAGATCTGATTGAAGGACGGGGGGAGGGAGAGGGATAAGGGAGAAGAGAGGAGGAGAAATGGAAGGAACTTAAATTATTTGCCTAAATACTTTATTAAAGAATAAATTTGTGATTAAAAAAATAAGAAACCTGATCAAAATATCAGCAATTGTCAGTTTCTACCAGTTTGTCAACATGAGTATCCCAGAATCACATGGAAAGTTGTGCTAAAGTACATTTTCCTTAACTCTGCTTTGACCTTGTAGGTAGGTCAAAACCCATAAATTGTCATAGGTGTCATTATTATTATTGTTATTGTTATTATTATTATTAGTGTGTGTGAGTGTGTGTGTGTGTGTGTGTGTGTGTGTGTGTGTGTGTGTGTGTGTTTCCATGGTGGCCAGAATAGGGCTTTGGAACACAGAGAGTTCAAGTTATAGACAATTTTGAGCTACTCCAATGTGGATACTGAGATTAGAACTCAAGTATATTGGGAGAGTAGAAAAAAAAACTCGGTAAAAAACATGTTTTGAATAAAATAGAACTATATTGCCCCCCAATTCCTCTCTTCAGCCCATTTCATTTGTCCTTCTTTAAGCCCCTCTAGAGGCCCTTTCTCAAGTTGATAGCCCCCTTTCTTTATTATTGTTACAAACACACACACACATATTGCAAATATATATTAATAGCTGAGCCATATCTCCAGTCACAAGCTCAGTAATTTCTAAAACAATTTTATTGAATATTCACAAAGTTAATATGATGTTTTAATTTGAAAAAGCCAACCATATTCAGATGAAATCATTTGTCCAAAATCAAATGGACTCAGGGTAGAGAAGATGTGCTTTTGGTAGTCCCAACACTGGTTTATGAGATGTGTTCAGGAGAGTTGCTAGAAGCGAGGACTCTCGCTATTTTCCTGCAAATTACTAGTCACATAATTTATTTTCTTTAGTTACAGATTGTTTAGAAACGTCAGAAGGAGCTAGGGCAATGGCTCAGTGGGAAATGTGCCTGCTGCTTAAACCAGACGTCACCTTAGTTTGAACGCTAAGAACCTACATAAAGTCCAGACACAGTAGCTTCCCATCTTAGAATGTTTTTACCAGAAGATATGGAGCAGAGACAGGAAACTGACAGAAGCTTGCAGGCTAGCTAGCCAGGAACTTGGAGCAATAAACAAAAGAGACTCTGTCTCAATACTAGGTGGAAGGCAATGCCCAAGTGATGCCCAAGACTGTCTTCTATGTACCATGTATGTGGATGCTGGCAAATCTCTCTCTCTCTCTCTCTCTCTCACCCACCCACCCACATCCACAGAGTATCTTAGAAAAATTTACAGTATTTATTGTATTTCCATTTTCCATAATAATGTTACTAGTGATAATGGCATTTGGTGTCAAGTATGTATATGTCTAACGAGGATTTTTCAATGTATTATCTTATACTTGTCACAGACATACATATATATATATATATATATATATATATATATATATATATATATATACACATATACATATACATATACATACATATATTTCTTTGGTAAGATAAATAATTAGGTTTTAGGTTATTAGACTAGACTTAGGAATAGTAGAGAAAAGGTTGTCTAGTGTGTTTTTGGAATGTATTAGTGAATTAATAAAATGTCCTTCAATTTGTTCATGAGAGAAAGAAGCATAGACTCTGTTAAAAGAAAACCTAGGCTTGACCAAATTTACAGGCTGCATGCAATGTGAGTATGTCAAGAGTTCCATAGGAAGCAGTCCTTTGGGTATTGGCACTAAGCTTTTCCAGAGGAAACATAACGCTCTGTTAGACTTTTGAAAATCTGAGAATCCAGAGTTTACAGCATGGTTGCAGCTCTCTGAGGCTATCATTCAAGGGCAATGAGGTCCTTGGTGGGCTTGATATCCATAGTGGCTTTTGCTACTGATTTTATATCTAATGACAAAACCTAAAGTCATTTTGGAAGACAAAACCTCAATTGAGAACATGGCCCCACTGGCCAGCCTGCAAGTGCTGGGAACATTTTCTTGATTGATAACTGATGTAAGGAGGCCCATTTCAGTGTGGGTAGTGCTACCCCTTGGCTAGTAGTCTTGAGGTATATAAGAAAGCAGCCTGAGGAGGCTCTAAGGAGCAAACCAGGAGATAGGATTCCTCCAAGGCTTTTGCTTCTGCTCTTGCATAGGTGAGAGTTTCTCTCTTGCCTGCCTGTTCCCATACCCAGCAGCTGCTTCCCAAATAATTGACTCAGGGGCTTAATATTACTTATAAATGCTCGGATGGTAGCTCAGGCTTATTACTAACTGACTCTTACACTTGAATTAACCCACAATTCTTATCTATGTTTAGCCACGTGCTTGGTACCTTTTCTCAGTACAGCATTCTCTTCTTGCTTTCTGAGTCTGGCTGGTGACTCCTGACTCTGCTCTTCCTTTTCCCAGAATTTCTCTAGTCTGTTCACCCTGCCTATACTTCCTGCCTGGCTACTGGACAATCAGTGTTTTATTCAACCAGTTCGAGTGACAAATCTTTACTGTGTACAAGTGCATTACCCCACAGCATTCCTGCTTCTAGGTTTCCAGTTTGAGTTTCTGCCCTGACTTCCCTCAGTGATGGAGTAGGACCTCAAAGTTGTAAGTTGAAATATACCCTTTTTCTCCCCAAGTTTATTTCAGCCATGTAGTTTTTTCATAGCAATACGAACCTAACACAGATCCATCTATTTGCCTGCACATTTCCTGATGTCATTGTTTTTAACAGCTTAATAACACGCCATTGTGTAAATGTACTGCATTATTTTCATCCATTCTTTAGTTGATGGACATCTAGGCTGTTTCCAGTTTCTGGCTATTACAAATAAAGATGCTATGAACATAATTGAACAAATGTCCTTGTGGTATAGTAGAATATCTATTGGTACATGCTCAGGAGTGATATAACTGGGTCTTGAAGTTTATCAATTTCTAATTTCCTGAAGAAACTGTCATATTCATTTCCATATTGCCTGTACAAGTTTGTACTTCTACCAGCGATGGAGTAGTGTTCCCTTTGCTCCATATCCTCTCCATCATGAGCTGTCACTTGTGTTTTTGATATTAGCCATTCTGATCAATGTAAGACAGAATTTCATCCCACTGAAAGGAGGAAGGAAAGACTCTATAAACAAGGGGGTTCAGGGGCATCACAAGGGAACCCACAGAAACAACTAACCTGGGCTCACAGGTGCTCAAAGAGTCTGGAACAACAGCCAAGAAGCCTGCATGGGACCAACCTAGGGCCTCTCTATATGTGTAATAGTTGCATAGCAAAGTCTTTGAATTTTTAATGACCATGGGGCTTTTAAAAGGTGGAATACTTTGCATTGTGATATTAATAATAATAGGCCATCTTGGGGACAAATGAGAAAGGAAAGGTTCTATTTAAATTGTGATGGAGTTTGTGTGTCAGGTTGTCAAGGGATAAATCTGGTTGGCTAGTTTTATGTCAGCTTTACACAAGCTAGAGTGGTTTGGAAAAAGGCAACCTCAATTCAGAAAATGCCCCTAACAGAATGGCCTGTGGGAAGACCTTTGGGGTGTTTTCTTGATTGATGATTGATGTGAAAGGGTCCACTTCACTAGAGAAGTGCCACTCTTAGACAGATGGTTTTGAGTGCTATAAGAAAAAGGCTTGAGCAATTCATGTGAAGCAAGCTGGTATGGAGCACTCTTCTGTGGTTTCTCCTTCCATTCCTGCTTTCAGGGTCCTGCCTTGAGTTCTTGACCTAAGTTTTTTCCATGATGGATTGTGATCAGAACTTGTAAACTGAAATAAACCCTTTCCTCTCTAAATTGTTTTGCTATTTTTTTAATTACAGCAGTAGACACCTTACTAAGAGACAGTTGGAATGTTCTTGGTTACAAATATCAGAAGTTCTAATCAACTATGATCCAAAGAAACCATGTGTTTATTTTCTTCTTGGAAGAATGGATTCATCCTTAGACAGTCAGGCCTGGTTCTTTCAGTATCTCTTCCTATTCGTGATCTTCCACCTCCTCATATTCCTGTTTCCAAGTTCTGAAGCACTTGTCTTTTAGGAGCAGTGAATATCACAAAGTTGTATATGTAGGATAACATGTATGTGTTGAGGTCATGTGCATATGAGAAATGATGATGTTGTTCATAAATAAAACAAGTATGTGAAATGGGAGACATATTGAAAATAATATGTAAATAGGATAGTGTTGGTGCTTGAAAGATGGCTCAGTAATCAATAGCACTGGGTTCTCTTGAAAAGGACCTGGGTTCAAGTCTCAGCACTAATATTGTGACTCACAGTAACCTACATCTCCAGTTTCATGGGAGTTCACATCTACTTCTGACCCATGTGACACCAAGCATACACACAATACATGCATCAAAAACAATCACTGATGTTTATAAAATAAAAATAAACATTTAAAAATAACAGGGTAATATAATCAAAATGAAATTCTGGCATAGTGAACAAACTTACTTTAGGTCAGAGGCAACTTTAAGGAACTAAATCTTACTGTTTTATGTAATCTAGTGATAAAAATGTGTAGAACCAATTTGAAAATATAAACCAGAGTGCACAGCTCTAAACCAACCTCCTTTCAAATATCACCACAGTAATGCAGTCCTACAATCCACCAAAACTTTCATAGTTTAGAACAATGATAATTTATTCTCTCTCCATTCTAGGGTTGCTGATTTGGGGTTCCTCCTATTGGGGTCAATTGCAGAGTGAACTTGCTTTTTGCAGCAACATTACAGATCTGGTTCACTCCAGACACAGCCTGAAGTGCTAGGCGCAAGCTACCATAAGGCATGCTCTCTGGATGTTGCTAGGGTACTTATGTCAAGTCCTATTGTGTGATTATACTTGGTTTCATATAAAGAAGACAGGAACTAGCATACCAAACACCCTGGAAGCTTGATGAAAAACCTGGCATACAATTTCACATAGGGCAGAGTAGTATTAGAAGTCATAGCTCAGCCTCCCACAAGCATGGGAAGCTACAAGTTATTATATGAAATGATTAAATATCAGGGGTACTTAAAACATGAAGGGGTAATACCTGTCTATCCAAAAATCTCTCTCCTTCCTAACACATATGAATTTTTTTATGGAATAGTATGCTATTATTGAAAAGAAAATTGCTCTTGTGACTGGGTGAATGTTTTTCAGGATAAAAGGGAATGAAGAAGCCACCGTTGGAAGCCAGATGGACAGGGCAGGGAACACTTTTCTAACAGAAAATGAGACATTTTGAATGGAGGAAGAATCCTTGGTCCCAGCTGCTCTTACTGGCCCCCTGTGACAAAGAACTAGTTAACACAAAGCCAAATGCTCAGAATTAATTGTGATTGACATGTAAATGGACCTTAACTGGTTTTTCTGTATGCTTGCTGGTTTGTGATTGTGGCACTTACCTGCTGCATTCATCACAAGACTATATTGACAGTGTTTAATCAATACTTTAGAGGAAACCCTTTTTCTTAGATATAGCAAGTCATTAATATTTAATGATGAAATTTTGGTTAGTTAACTTAAGAAACTATACATAGTTTGAGTTAAAATATGATTCAGTTATTTCCATCTACTACATTTACTTCATATTTCCACAGACAGTAAATTTACAGAAGACGTTTCCTTGCATTATTCTTGTTCTCTGTTTGGCTTCTAAATACATCACCAATGGCACTGGAGAAGGTTTGGTGTCTCTCAGAAAAGCCAGAACCTGTCATTAATTCCATGGGTAATAAGAATTATAAAATGTTCAGACAAATGTTATTGCTGAACAAAATTATAAGAAATTTAGATAACATTTTGTAAAATTGTGAGTGTGTGTTGCCGAGAATGGAATCCAGGACTTTGTACTTACTGAATATGTATTCCACCACTGAACTAAACCACCACCCTGACATGAGCCTTAAGGTTTCCCACAATGAAAATTGGTCAATTTAAATTACATGGAACTATATATAAGTGTAATTTTTTCTCAATGTTGTCATTTTCTTTTTCTTTCT